TCTGAACCATCAAAAACCAAGTTTCTAGACAAATCTAAACATTTCTCTGGGAAAAAACGATATCATGTAGAAGGGGTGGCATCTGCATGTAGAAGAATACAGCTGTGCATCACTGGCAATATCGGTGGTTCCATACTGACCGCCCAAAGAATCCCGCTGATTTTGGCAATTACCCACTGAAACGTTAGTACGTGGCAGGGCATTTGCTAGTTCCAGCGGTCGCGCTACATTTAAATACGCATAAATTCCGCTTCCTCGAGCATCAATTACTGAATGCACCAATTATGTTGTTGCGATTGCCGCTGATGCTAAATTTATTTTCAGAATGCCCTCACCCTCACCTCATGCCCTCGTTGTGCGTATGAAGCTGGCGGTAGATTTAGTGAACTGCAAATGGCCTTGCCAATACCCACATTTACATATATTCATAGCGGCCAAAATAGGCCGGACAGCGAGGGGCGCAAAACCAGATTTCACAACCTGCAATCACCTTTATTTTATCAGTACCACAACCATCGTACTGATGAAATTCAGCTGTGATCCTGAATAGGAAGGTCTACGAATCGATAGGCTGAAACATTCCTTTTCATCCAGTTTTTTTTTTAATATAACTTTTTATTATATTTTTATACTTACCATGATTAATATCTCTGTTGAAAATAACCACTGTGACTTTTGCGGAAGAGCCTTTTAAGGCTGTCTTAAACTCGATGCTGTTATTAAATTAAGATGAACTGATAAGATTGTTCTAAAAGAAACTGGGACGTGAAAATCTCGCGAATCATCAAACTGGCGGAGGGGAAAGAATATCAGCTTCTTAAATATGAAAAATAGAGCAAATACAAATTCTCAAGCTCAAAATTGATTGGACTATGGAAAATAATTTAATCACAGTGTCGATAAATGCACAATTTTCTTATCCACACCTGATGAAAGAGGTGAAAACACGACCAGGGCTAAGAACTGACAAAAAAAAGCCAAGCTAACAACAACCCTACCTGAGGACATTTGTGGCACAAGATGATTTTCAAATAGTAAGTGACCATGAACTGATACTCGTACCATTTGTGAATATGCAAATTTGCAGAGCGCACAACGAATTTGATGGCAAACATGGTTGGTAATGAAGTACTGCTGAACTGTACAATAACGATCGGTAATGAAAGCGCAACGAGCGGTACCAGCGAGGAGGTGGAATGGTGGAGGGATGGCCGTCCGATTGATTTCAAAAACACTGATAGTTAGTGATGCAAAAATT